AAAAAAAAAAAAAAGGACAGTAAAGTGTGTGGAGTGTCTGAGGTGCCCAGGGCATGGTGTGGGGAGGTGTTCATAGGTAAGGCATCCCAGTGGCTTGTGAACAGACTTCCTAATGGAGAATGTGGAGCAGTTAGGTTTTATGGCCTTGCTTCCTAGCTCCCATCCTTTCCCAATACCCACCCATACCAATAACCTCGAAATTCTGCTTGGGCAAGAAAGAGTGGCCAGTGGCCTCATGCCTGTGATTCTAGCACTCTGGAAGCTGAGGCAGATACGTCCCTTGAGCTCAGGAGTTTCATATTTATCTATTTATTTAATGATCAGAACATTTCAGGGAGAAGAGCTCAGGAGTTTTAGACCAACCTGATCAAGGGCCAGACCGCATCTCTACTAAAAAGAGAAAAATTATATGAGCATGGTGGCAGGTGCCTGTGTCCCAGCTACTTAAGAGGCTGAGGCAGGAGGATCACTTAAACCCAGGAGTTTGAGGTTGCTATGAGCTGGGTTGATACCACGGCATTCTAGCCTAGGCAATAGAGTGAGACGCTGTCTCAAAACAAACTCTTGGCAGCATCCCACACAGCTGGGGGAGCCGAGGATTCCCTCACTGCGCTCTCACTTTCTGTCACAGGGGAAATTACAGGCTGTGCCACCTTTGAGGAGTGATAAGGGTAAAGAGAAATCGTTCTTCTTACTTTCCTTAATGCATATACTCTTAGCATTGCCCCAACAGTGTGCTGTGACTTCTAAACTGGACTATTGGATTCCCAGGAAAGTACTGCTTGTCTAGAGGTAGTTGTCAAAATTATTGCTTCTTCAGGAGGATGAAACAAGATAGCTCCAATGCTGCCATCTTGCTTCTATCACACTCTGAAGTTACTTTTATTTATTTTTTAAGTATGATGCTTTATTTTAACTAGTTAACTAATTAATTTTTTGAGACAGAGTTTCACTTTGTAGCCCTTGGTAGAATGCTGTGGCATCATAGCTCACAGCAACCTCAAACTCCTGGGTTCAAGTGATCCTCTTGCTTTAGCCTCCCCAGTAGCTGAAACTAGAAACCTGCCACAATGCCCAGCTACTTTTAGAGCAACCTCAAACTCCTGGGCTCAAGTGATCCTCTTGCCTTAGCTCCCCCAGTAGCTGAGACTACAGACACCTGCCACAATGCCCAGCTACTCTTGCTTTTGCTCAGGCTGGTCTCCATCTCGTGAGCTCAAACTATCTGCTGACCTTGGCCTTAAATCCACAGTGTTAGGATTACAGGTGCAAGCCACTAAGCCCGGCCTTTTATTTCTTTTGTGAAACAGTCTCAATCCGTCACCCTGGGTAGAGTGCTATGGCACCATAGCTCACAGCAACCTCAAACTCCTGGACTTAAGCAATCTTCTTGCCTCAGTCTCCAGAGTAGCTGGAACTACAGATGCCCACCACTAAGCTTGGCTAGGTTTTCTTTTTCTATTTTTAGTAGAGATGGGTCTCAGTTTTGCTCTGACTGATCTCGAACTCCTGAACTCAGGTGATCCACCCACCTCGACCTCCCAGCCTACTAGGATTATAGGTGTGAGCCACTGCACCCAACTTTCTGAAGTTTCTTTTAAAAGAATACCAGCTTTTAACCCGGACCCTGGATGACTTGGCTTTCTTGTGGTACGTAAACTGCCTCTTTTCCTCCTTGCCCATTCTGAAATCTTATAATCCCTTTACATTCCCCGTGTGTACCTAAGTATCAGAACTTTAAAAAAGAACAGCCAGTCAAATAAAATTAACATTAAAAAATAAATTTACTTTGAGTCTGAAATACCCAATAACCACAATATAAAGAGCAAAAATCAGGACACGAATAATAACTTAAGACGCAGGCATTCTGCTGGCTTTGCATACAAACATATTTTTACATACAAACATATTTTTAAAGACATTTCTTAACATTTTCAAAAGGCAAAAGCTATACCTGTGACATTTAAAAATGCAACAGCTTCTGAAACATCCAGTTTCTTTCCTAAAATTCTTTTATTAAAATTTACAGTGATGATTACCAACTCCACTTTCCCAAAACATACAGTTACGTGCCACATAATATTTTCAGCAATGATGGACTACACATACAACGACTGTCCCATGAGATTATAATGGAGCTGAAATATTCCCATTGCCTAGTGATGTCATAGCTGTTGTTGTATCACAGTATGACACATCCCCTTTTCTATGTTTAAATATGTTTAGATACACAAATACTACAGTGTTGCAATTGCCTAGAGTATTCAGTACAGTAACATGCTGTACAGGTTTGTAGCCTAGGAACAAAAGGTAATACCATATAGCCTAGGTATACAGTGGGCTATATATACCATGTAGGATTGTATAAGAACACTCTGTGATGTTTACACAATGATGCAGTTGCCTAGCAATACAGTTCTCAGAATGTTCTCTCCATTGGTAAACGACACGTGACTGTGGAATTATTCTTGAATAACATACTACAGACAACTTTCACTTAAAATACAGAAACATCATCAATTTATTTTGCATTTTATCACATATTTTACCCTTTTCCTAATCAACAAGGAAAAATACATATGACACATATATGTATATACTTTCCAGAAATAAAGTATTCTGGTTTTTCACCTGTAATTTATTCAAAACCTCAGGAAGTTAACAAATACATGATTATTTTCAAAATCATTCAAAAAAAATCACTGACAGCTTAAAAATAAAACAATTATTTGGGACAGACTTTAAAATATCTTTTTAGCCATTTTTACCTGTAATGTAAATAAATACAAAGGAAGCTAATGATTGGGCATGTTTTGCCTAAGCTGCTTACTTTCAACTGACTAATAAGGCTAAAAAGAGAATTAAAAGTCCTTCATATCCACAAGGTAATAATCACAATTTTTTACCCAATTTCATAAAAAATTGGATATTTTCGTCTGGCTAGATTTCAACTCCTATAATACAATGATTGGGTCTGCTCCATGATGAAAAAGGCATTTAACATTTTAAAACAAAACACATTTATTTTGTGGATGAGGAAAATGTTTCCCAAAGTTCAACAACTTATCCAGAGTTACAGGGATGGATAGAACTACATCCAGGACATGGACACAGAATTCCTGATTCTTAGCCATTCTTTTGGTAACATATACTTTAGGGTCAGAATCTACATAATTTATAGTTATTTCAGGATTGCAGAGACTGTTACAACGTCAGTATAAACTAATGCATCTTTTCTGCTTTAATCAAAATTTCCATTCACTTCAAGGATATTCACTATACCTTATTGGCTTTTTTTGTATAAGTGGACAAAATATATGTGCTAATGGCTGATCAGATGTCATTTCTGTAAAGATATTCCCTGTGAGCTTAGAGAATCAGGACATCAACAACATTTAAATCCTCACTGTAAACATAACACAGTGGTAGGCACTGTGGAAATATATTTGGTCCTATTCTCCTTACCCTGAGCATGTAAAAGAGCAGACTGTTCTTTTACAGTATGGTGACCACACACATTCTGTGGTGAAGAAAAGAATCTACTCCCCCAGCACGGTGATGGAGCATGGACGTGGGCACAGTATCTTCAAAGGAGAATGATCATAAAAACGATACTGGAGAATTAAAACAGCACTCAAGAGGTCTCCACCACACGGGGAGACCTAGGCTATCTGAAGTTATTAGATTTCCTTAGCTCAGGAATCTTCAAGGCAATATGTAGGATGTGATACAAGAAATCATGAAATAGCCAGTAACAAGAATGATGAAAAAAATTTTTTTAATCGAGACAGAGTCTCACTTTGTCACCCTTGGTAGAGTGTTGTGGCGTCACAGCTCACAGCAGCCTCAAACTCTTGGGCTCAGGTGATTCTCTTGCCTCAGCCTCGCAAGTAGCTGGGACTACAGGCGCCCACCACAATGCCCGGCTATTTTTGAAATTTTCTTGTTTTAAAGTTATATACTGAAGAAAAGAGAAGAGAGCAAACAAAATCTATGAGAAAAACAAAACAAAACTATCCCATTTCAAGCTGGAGTGAAAAAAATATATAGTGTTAGTATTTCTTCTTCATAGAAAGGCAGCACGGGAAAGAACTTAAGACAGTGAGCTCATATCTGGGCACCAAAGCTTAATCAGAAGATAATTCCAAGGCCAAAGTCATGGGCAGAATCTGCGCACAGAATTGGTTTTGTGGCCAGTGCCAGTATATGTTTCAAAGCAACAACTGTGTGAGAAATGGGAAAAATTTTAGAGGTCATCTGGAAGTCTGACCCCGATACTGTAGCATCATGTTAGTACCCTGTACTCTCACTGAAGTGACTTAGTTGGTCAACAGAATACAAAGGTAGCCAATTTGGTACATTTGGTTCCACTGGGTATTTTTTATGCATAAACTTCTTGTTCTCTTATGTGTCTTATGGGGAATGGACCCCCACATTATCCTTTTTACAAAGTCCCCTAAGCTTCCATTTTTCATAAAAAAAAAGAGACCTACTTTTGAGAAGTAAAAGTCAAGAAACTTACTTTCAGACACAATGTAAGACTATAAATGCAACACTAATTTGATAAATGGTAGTGTTAACAGGATGTACACAAAAGTATTTTAAGCTAAACATGGCTTAAATGAATAAGCAAAATAACTATACATTTAGAGATCTTAAAGTAATTTTCAAGTAAGTATCCATTCCCTACTACTTATAACGCAGCCACAGTGCTCATATAACACTCCAAGGATGTTCACGCTCTAGCCCAATTACTGCAGGATAGTAACTTTTCTTTTCACTTCAAATTGCTGATTCTGACTGCTTGGACAATGTAACATCTTTTGGTTCTTGATCTGTAGGACTGTCAACTGGCACCTATTAAATAAAAATCATTAGATAAAAAATGTATAGTATATAGCAGATGACGTTATAAAAGATCAACTGATTCAGGAAAACAAAAACAGCTGATAGAGAAGGCTGGTTTCACATGTATTCTCTAGGAGAGTTTCTTGGGTAGGCACAGTGGCTCATGCCTATAATCCTAGCATTCTCTAGGAGGCTGAGGTGGGAGGATTGCTTTCACATCAGGAGTTTGAGACCAGCCCGAGAAAGAGCAGGACCCCCCATCTCTATGAAAAATAAAAAAATTAGCTAGGTGTGGCAGCACACTTCTGTAGTCCCAGCTACTGGGAAGGCTGAAGCAGGATAATGGCTTGTGGCCCGAAGTTTGAGGTTGCAGTGAGCTATGATGACACCACTGCACTCTACCCAGGGCAATGGAGTGAGATTCTCTCTCAAAACAAAAAAAGGGTTTCATGTATATACTATGTACACTTTTCTCAATAGTGTAATTATAAAAATAATCATTACTTACCGCTTTGATATCGACGTTTGTAATTCCCACATTTATGTTATGTCTTCTCAGATCAGACTTGATTAATGCTGCAACAGAGAAGCACCAACAGAGTTACTTTAAACTGTGAATATATTTTGCTCTAAGCAGCTCAAAGTCTTTTTGGTATTGTCAAATTTAACACGTTATAGTATCAGAAGATTTAAAACCATTCTTATAGCTAGAAAAAATAGTTCTTCCCTACATTGTTAACAATCAGCAACTCATTTATTACTAAAAAATACAGGATGCTAGGAACCAAAGACACAAAGGTGAAAAGCAAAATTCTTCTCCATAAAGGATTTTCTAATCTTGGGAAACACTGACATATTAACAATCATAGCATTTGTATGGCAACTGCATGTTGCAAGTCTGTACAAGGATACCGGGAAATGAGAGGGAAAAATGCCTCTGTCAAACAAAGGAAATTAGGGAATGCCTGCCAGAGGAGATATACTTAAATTGAAACTTGAAAAATTAGGGTGGTGCCTGCGGCTCAGTGGGTAGGGTGCCGGCCCCATATACTGAGGGTGGTGGGTTTGAGCTGGGCCCCAGCCAAACTGGAAAACTACAACAACATAGCTGAGTGTTGTGGTGGGTGCCTGTAGTCCCAGCTACTCGGGGGGCTGAGGCAAGAGAATCACCTAACCAGGCGTCCTCAAACTATGGCCCACGGGCCACATGCGGCCCGCCTAGGATATTTATCTGGCCTGCTGGGTGTTTTTGCCACCGCTGCCTGTTCTGCTTAGCAGCTGACCTGTCCTGGGGACTGCAGTCTGGCCCTCCAATGGTCTGAGGGACAGTGCACTGGCCCTCTGTTTAAAAAGTTTGAGGACCCCTGGAAGCCCAGGAGTTGGAGGTTGCTGTGAGCTGCGATGCCACAGCACTCTCCCAAGGGCGATAAAGTGAGACTCTGTCTTAAAAAAAAAAAAAGTGAGTAGGATAAGAGAGAAGAAGGTATTCTAACCAGAAAGCAATACGGGTATAACTCAGATATATACATATATATACCCAGGCATATATGTATATATTCTGTGTGTGCGGATAGATGGATGGATAGATAGATAGATAGATAGATACATACATACATACATACATACATACAGGTTCAGCTCCAGACCATCACGACAAAGCAAATAATGCAGTAAGGCCAAGTCACAAGTGTTTTGGCTCCCAGCACATGTAAAAGTTCTGTTTACACTATGCTGTAGTCTATTAAGTGTGCAATAGAATTATGTCTAAAAAAAGCACATACCTTGATTAAAAAATAGTTCACTACAGGCTGAGTGTGGCTTAGGCCTGTAATCCTAGCATTCTGGGAAGCTGAGACAGGTGGATTGCTTGAGCTTAGGGGTTCAAGACCACCCTCAGCAAGAGCCAGACCCAGTCTCTGCTGAAAATAAAAAAAACCAGCCAGGTGTTGTGGCTGGGGCAAGAGAATCCCTTGAGCCCAAGAGTCTGAAGTTGCTGTCAGCTATGACACCACAGTACTCCACCAAGGGTGACAAAGTGACACTCTGAACTCAAAAAAAAAAAAAAAAAAAAAAAACTCTAAAAACCATCTAAGCCTTCAGCAAGTTGTGAACTTTTTGCTGGTGGAAGGGCTCACATTTTGATAGCTGCTGACTGATCAGGGGTTGTTTGCTGAAGGTTAGAGTGACTTTGGCAATTGTTTTTTCTTTTCTTTTTTTTTTTTGAGATAGAGTATTATAGCTCACAGCAACCTCAAACTGTTGGGCTCATGGGATCCTCTTGCCTCAGCCTCCTGAGTAGCTGGGACTGATGTGCGCATGGCCATCTAGTTTTTCTATTTTTATTTTTTATTTTTTATTTTTTTTTTGAGACAGAGCCTCAAGCTGTCCTCTGGGTAGAGTGCCACAGCATCACAGTTCACAGCAACCTCCAACTCCTGGGCTCAAGTGAGTCTCCTGCCTCAGCCTCCCAAGTAGCTGGGACCACAGGTGCCCAGCACAACACCTGCCTATTTTTTGGTTGCAGCCGTCGTTGTTTGGCGGGCCTGGGCTGGATTCAAACCTGCCACCTTAGGTGTGTGTGGCTGGCGCCTTAGCTGCTTGAGCCATAGGCGCCGGGCCTAGTTTTTCTATTTTTAGTAGAAACAGGGTCTCAGTCTTGCTCAGGCTAATCTTGGACTACTGAGCTCAAGGGATCCTCCCACCTTGGCCTATCAGAGTGCTAAGATTACAGAAATGATCTACTTTGCTCTGCCCATTTTTTCCTCTATGGTTTTTGGGAAGAAGCTGGACATAATTCTTACCCACACTCCTCTATAAATAAGGTGGATTTTCCCACTGCCTTCTTTCAAGATTCTTTTTTTCTTTTTCTTTTTTTTATCGTTGAGGATACACTGAGGGTACAGAGAACCAGGTTACACTGATTGCATGCCTCCAAGAGGTGTGGCACACACTGTGACCCCATCTCCTCCCTCCTTCCTTCTTTCTGCTCTTCCCCCCACCATGTCCTAGGTCATCAGTTGTCCTCATATCAGAATTGAGTACATTTGATTCTTGCTTCTCCATTCTTGTGAAGCTTTGCTAAAAAGAATGTGTTTCAATTCTATCCAGGTTAATACAAAAGATGTAAAGTCTCCTTATTTTTAGTGGCTGAATAGTATTCCATGGTATACATATACCATAGCTTGTTAATCCATTCCCAGATTGGTGGACATTTAAGATGTTTCCAGAGTTTGGCAGTTATAAATTGAGCTGCAATAAACAGTCTAGTGCAAATGTCCTTATGATAAAATAATTTTTTTTCTTCTGGGTAGATGCCTAGTAATGGGATTGTAGGATCAAATGGGAGGTCTAGTTTGAGTTCTTTGAGGATTCTCCATACTTCCTTCCAAAAAGGTTATATTAGTTTGCAGTCCCACCAGCAGTGTAAAAGGGTTCCTCTTCTCCCCATCCAGCCAGCATCTGCAGCTTTGAGACTTTTTGATGTGGGCCATTCTCACTGGGGTTAGGCGATTATCTCAGAGTGGTTTTGATTTGCATTTCTCTTATGATTAGGGATGATGATCATTTTCTCATATGCTTGTTAGCCATTCGTCTGTCTTCTTTAGAGAGGTTCTATTCATCTTTCTTGCCCAGTTATATAAGGGGTTGTTGGCTTTTTTTTTTATGTTGGTTAATTTAAGTTCTCTACAGATCCTAGTTATCAAGCTTTTGTATGAGGATTTCTTTATCCTTTTTTTTTTTTAAGAGAGAGAGTCTCACTTTGTTGCCCTTGGTAGAGTGCCAGGGCGTCACAGCTCATAGCAACCTCCAGCTCTTGGGCTTAGGAGATTCTCTTGCCTCAGCCTTCCGAGTAGCTGAGACTATAGGCGCCCGCCACAATGCCTGGCTATTTTTTTGTTGTTGTTGCAGTTTAGCCAAGGCTGGGTTTGAACCTGCCACTCTCAGTACATGGGCCTGGCACCCTACTCGCAGAGCCACAGGCGCTGCCTGATTTTCTTTATCTTTGATTTTCGGCTGTGTGAATATGATATGCCTAGGTATAGGTTTTTGGCATTTATCCTGTTTCATGTACTTTGAACTTCCTGTATCTGTGGTGCCTAATGTTAATTTGGAGAAATTCTGTCATTTTTGTTTCAAATATTTCTTCTGTTTCTTTCTCTCGTTTGTCTCCTTCAGATATTCCCATTACACGTAGATTAAATCTTTTTTACAAACTTCTGCCACATTCTTGAATATTCTGTTCTGTTTTTTCAGTTGTTCTTTTCTTTGCTTTTCAGTTTTGGAAGTTTGTATTAACAAATCCTGAAGCCTAGAAACTCTTTCCTCCACCATCGCCAGTCTACTAATGAGCCCATCGTAGACATTCTTCCTTTTTCTTTTTTTTAAAGCAGCTTTAGTGGGATATAATTCATATGCCATACATTGAGAATGTTCAATTCAATGGATTTGAGTATATTCATAGTTGTGCAACCATCACCGCCATCTAACTGTACAATATTCTCATCACCCTGAGAAGAAACCCTATACCAGTGGTTCTCAACTTTCCTAATGAGAGTTGCTGACTTTTTGGTCTGTTCAGCTTCTTGTTAGTATGAAGTGACTTCTAAGTTTTTTACATGGTGGACTAGAAACTAGAAGTCCAATGCTTCCTTTGAAATCCACTGTTACTTTAAATGCTTCTTCATTACTGATACCAATATTTTAGAAAAATTCATCCAGTACTCTCCAGGAAAATACTCAACAAATGAAAGAAATTAATTAGCATTTTCAGATGGTACAGGCATCAATATAAACCAAATTTTAAAGAACTTTTTCACTTCCTAATGAGTTTTCTAGACTTGATTTGTTTGAATTAACATTCATGAATCTCATACAAAAATAATGTGAAAAGGGAATATAAAATGATTCCTCTTTTTGGTGTAATAACAACACTGTATTGATAGAGATATGGTACTTGCCTGGAAGTTAGGAACCAACATTGAATTATTTTATGGAAGATCAGTAGTTTAAAATGTTAATGTATTATGCATTTCACAGGGGGTTTTTGTTGGTTTTTTTTTTTGAGACAGGGTCTCTCTATGTTGCCCTCGATAGTTCTGTGGCGTCACAGCTCACAGCAACCTCCAACTCTTGGGCATAAGTGATTCTCTTGCCTTAGCCTCCCAAGTAGTTGGGACTATAGGCGCCCGCCACAATACCCAGTTATTTATTTATTTGTTTAGCAGGCCCAGGCTGGTTTGAACCCACCAGCCCTGGTGTACGTGGCTGGCA